CCTTTCGGAGTGAGCCATGCATACAACTTCCATTAGGAATGATATAGTGCGCGCCTTACCGTACCGCAGAATTCAGCATAGCTTTGCTTCATAGCTTTGAAGGCACAGTCCACGTTGGCCATATGGGCGTGTCAGATGTACCATTATAGCTCCCGTGCTTTTCAGCCACTCCTGGTATGGCAGAGAGTGGCGCGAAAGGCGCAGTGGTAGGTCTGACTCCGCCCATGCAATCAGCGTGGACGGTGCCAGTGAGTAGTCTATGGGGTCGTTCCTATTGTTCTCGAAGTGTTCAAACGCGACTAATTCAGGTTCACAGACCAACCCCAAACAGTTGCTCAACAAATACTTCAAGGCGGTGATTACGGTATCGTGACTGTCGGCTATGGTCCACTGGTTACAGACTTGCCCGGAATGCAGGTTTGCAGATGCTTATACACTCATTATCACTGAATTTAGCAGGGCCTAATAGCGGCGCGTGGGTTTTGACGAGGCTCCAGCCTGTTTCCCTTGCGGTTTGGAGCGTCAATGAGTTGTGGAAAGGGACTGGCGCGGCGCCAAAACCTCTGACACGCCCCGACCGACTTCACTAAAAACGACTTTAGACTGGTGTTGAAGAAATTCTGTTAAAACTACTTGTGTTCCTCGATCATGGGTATAGGCCAGGGGGATCACGGTCAGGCGTCGCGTGTGCGGTGTGCACGCAATGAACTTCGTGGCGAAGACGGGCTCACTCTTCTTTTCCTCATATAGCCAACATAAAACCGGAAAAACCCAAGATGCAGCTTGGAAAACTTTCTCTTAAAGGCAGTTACGACCGCCGCTCCTCACCAACCGAGTACGACTCTCCTCATAGGGATCTTCCATCGAGACTGTACCCTGAGTGGAACATGGGCACTGTCGCTGGTTGTTCGTATTCCGAGGATCTTTCGCACGAACACTATCCCAGCCGGATAACTCTAATTACTGACTACCGTGCTTTGGAGAACGCAAACAGTGGCAAGATGATGTTGGTTGCACCGTTCCTCCCCATTTCAACTGTCGCCTCTAGAACGACTGAGTCCACTGGAGTGTCCATGAGTCCTCTGGAATGTCATCTTTTTCATCTGTTCATTCTGCAACGAACATAAAGCCAGGCATATTGCTGAGGTGCGTAGTTGTTGCGACATTGCGTGAGACATTGAAGGGCTGAGAGAGGAATCTTGGCCCCACTCCATTATGCATCCCGCCCTAGACTTTGAAAGAGACTTCTGCCCTCCCCGCCTATCATGCCCACTACCAGAAGCAAGTGGCAAGTATTTCTGCTTAAAAAACTTTGCAACGAGATAGTGATTCCTGTTTTGAGAGAGACGGGCGAGAGAAATCGTAAATTGCCGCTTCGTCGCGCGCGGCAATGGGCGCGACGTCTTGATTTGCACTACCCTTTCGATTGGAGCATCGGATTTCATGTAGACAAGGACATGGTAGACACTTATGTCTATTTTTGGTCATACATTGTCTATTCTCGACCAATACCACCTGAAATCGTCGTCATTAGCGAGCGCGACGTCGCACGCACTGGCGCGGCGAGGTACGATTCTCTTGCCATATACCTCCTGATTCCACACAATCCTTGCCCAAAAATTTGAATGTTAAACCCTTGCAGACGATAGCCGGCGGTCAAGCATGCTCGTTCTATGGTGCGGATTTGCCATCTCTACAAACTCAACTTGACCCCATACGGACGCTCATCTCCTCCGCAGAGTAAGATCTTGAGCAGTTTTTTTACCGATATACTCTCCGAATTATTTAATTTCAGCACGAACGGAGGAAAATACTGTGGTAACTGAGTACGGAAATATTTATGAAAGGTTTTATAAATGTTAAAGCAATAAAGATTCATCTATGTGCAGTGCGATATTGTCAGAAGGAGAACGTAGAGAAGCGAAAGCTATGAAGGTAGGTTCACCGAAGAAACCTTATCAAGGACAGTCGGGAGTCTTCGTAGCAATTTCGACATTAAGCACAACTCTGAATAGTGAAAG